TACAGTACTGTTGTGAAGACATAGCCAGAGTTCATGTGGGAGAATGACAGAACTCTACAGAGGGAACTTGCCAGATGTTTCCATATAACCTGCATTGTGGCATCATTTTGACATTTTAATTGGTTAGCCGCAGAATAGGGCATAAAGATTTCTTAGTAGACAAAAACCAGACTCATTTTAACTATCATGCATCTGTGTAATGATAAGAAAACGCATAACGTAAGGCAAACTGTATTCTACAGCTGAATAAATGTAGACAAGGCAAAAAAACAAACAAGCTCTTCACTATTCTGCCAGAGAGACAGTGATCCAAACGAGAAGGCACACCGGAGAAGTGTTTCATCTAACGTGGCCTGAACCTCGATCTATTTTAACAACTGCAGTCATAAGCAATCCTGGAGATCTATGAAACGTATGTTTTCCCTCCCCCTCCAGCTGCTGAGGCAGCACCTGCATGGATTTAAATGACTGCATTGATATGCAGAGACGGATTCATTTCTGTCCTCTATCACCGTAGATGGAGACAGGTAGGAGAAAGTCCCCCAGCATGAAATGACCATTCATTGCGTGTCGCCTTCCAGAGTGGTGAACAGTTCTATTTTAAGCTGGTTGAATGTTAGCAGCACAGTGGGAGAGGATTTGGAGGCTTGAATAGTACAGTTGCAAATGCCATGTTCCATACTCTATTTTCAGATCATTTCCTGGTTCACTCCTAGGTTGAATATACATGCGTTGTTGGACCTAGATTTACTTCTGATAATGAGGTCATACTGATAGCACAGTTGACTTTGAAACCTTGAACATCATACTAACTTATCTTCTACTAATCTTTTAGGTGTTTGGGGGGAAATACTGATGCCCTTCCACCTGAACAGTAAAAGCAAAGTCACTTCCTTGTGGGGCCCTATTGTTCAACCTCTTCATGTGTCATGATGAAATACTATGCTATCACAACCAATTTCGGTATGGGCATGAAAATATATATGGTAGAGACAAAAGAGAGACTAACAATGACAGAAAAATAGGCTTAACATTTTAATAGAAATGTAAATTGCTTTGAAACCTGCCTCTTATTTCTTGGTTTGATAGCTAATCTACTAGTATGACAGATCTGAGGGATAGTGCAAACAGTAAAAGGATGTGCAGCAATAAAGGCCAGCTGTGTTAGTAGAAGCCTAGTTAATGAGTGTGTGGACATTGATAGGAGGTTCTCACATCTCGCCTGTCTCACTGCCTCTCCAACTTTGCCCAGCAATTACTGGACCGTGAACCTTGACGAGATCAATTAGCCAGGTTTTAATGTCACGAGGAGAGATTCGCCATTTTGCTTTATCAGCACCTCAGCTATTCTCTTCACTTCTCTGGCAGAAGTGGAGGATGTGGGGGGTTCTGGAACTTCTGGTTCTGGATACAATTGCACTCATTCTCAGAGAGCTATTTGGTTTGTTTATTAGAGAAAAATATTTTCCCAGCAAAAGTTGTATTTCTTATTTATGGATCACTATGACTGTCTGATGTGGAACTGTTGTTCAGTGGATGAACCTATATTCAAAACCATTCATATCAAAAGAGAATAATGACTTTACACAAAAAAAAACATTTACTACCAATGACCAGATAAATATCAACCGGAGTATATCCTTCGTGTTGATTAGGATTGTAATATGACAGTTCTGACAGTTACATAAAATAGTACATCCAAAAGAAGGGTAATGAACATACATTTGTAAAAAATAAACAAGATCAGAAACAGCACATCTGGGTTAAACCATCCTACATGACAAACATGAACAAGCATATTTAGTTCTATATATAGTTATTCCTTTGGCACAAGGTAATGACTCCACAATTCAGTCTCATGTATTGGGCCTTTGGGACTAGTTAGGAGCTATTAACAGCAGGGCTGCTTCCTCATACTGTTCTGAACCACGACTACCGATCATGAAACCTGAGGGGACCTCTTGGCTGCATAGGAGCCATGTGGTAAATATCACCATCTAGTGGGTACAGAAGACTTACAGTGCCTTCGGAAAGTATTCAGACCCCTTGACTTTTTCCACATTTTGTTACGTTACAGCCTTATTCTAAAATGGATGAAATATTTATTTGTTTCTCAGCAATCTACACACAATACCCCATAATGACAAAGCGAAAACAGGTTTTTAGAAATAAAAAACAGAAATACCTTCTTTACATAAGTATTCAGAACCTTTGCTATGAGACTCTAAATTTAGCTCAGGTGCATTCTGTTTCCATTGATCATCCTTGAGATGTTTCTACAACTTGAGTGGAGTCCACCTGTGGTAAATTCAATTGATTGGACATGATTTGGAAAGGCACACACCTGTCTATATAAGGTCCCACAGTTGACAGTGCATGTCAGAGCAAAAACCAAGCCATGAGATCGAAGGAATTGTCCGTAAAGCTCCGAGACATGATTGTGTCGAGGCACAGATCTGGGAAAGGGTACCAAAAAATGTCTGCAGCATTGAAGGTCCCCAAGAACACAGTGGCCTCCATCATTCTTAAATGGAAGAAGTTTGGAACCACCAAGACTCTGGCCGCCCGCCCAAACTGAGCAATCGGGCGAGAAGGGCCTTGGTCAGGGAGGTGACCAAGAACCTGATGGTCACTCTGACAGAGCTCTAGAGTTCCTCTGTGGAGATGGGAGAACCTTCCAGAAGGACAACCATCTCTGCAGCACTCTACCAATCAGGCCTTTATGGTAGAGTGGGCAGACGAAAGCCACTCCTCAGTAAAAGGCACATGACAGCCCGCTTGGAGTTTGACAAAAGGCACCTAACGATTCTCTGGTCTGATGAAACCAAGATTGAACTCTTTGGCCTGAATGCTAAGCAGGGAGAGGGAGACTAGTCAGGATCGAGGCAAAGATGAACGGAGCAAAGTACAGAGAGATCCTTGATGAAAACCTGCTCCAGAGTGCTCAGGACCTCAGACTGGGGCGAAGGTTCACCTTCTAACAGGACAACAACCCTAAGCAGACAGCCAAGACAACGCAGGAGTGGCTTCGGGAAAAGTCTCTGAATGTCCTTGAGTGGCCCAGCCAGAGCCCGGACTTGAACCCGATCGAACATCTCTGGAGACCTGAAGATAGCAACGCTCCCCATCCAACCTGACAGAACTTGAGAGGATCTGCAGAGAAGAATGGGAGAAACTCCCCAAATACAGGTGTGCCAAGCTTGTAGCGTCATTCCCAAGAAGACTATGCTGTAATCGCTGCCAAAGGTGCTTCAACAAAGTACTGAGTAAAAGATCTGAATACTTATGTAAATGTGGTATTTCCGTTTTTTATGTTGAATAAATTAGCACAAAAAAAACAACGTTTTTTGTTATTATGAGGTATTGTGTGTAGATTGCTGAGGGGAAAAAACTACACTGCTCAAAAAAATAAAGGGAACACTAAAATAACACATCCTAGATCTGAATGAATGAAATAATCTTATTCAATACTTTTTTCTTTACATAGTTGAATGTGCTGACAACAAAATCACACAAAAATTATCAATGGAAATCAAATGTATCAACCCATGGAGGTCTGGATTTGGAGTCACCCACAAAATTAAAGTGGAAAACCACACTACAGGCTGATCCAACTTTGATGTAATGTCCTTAAAACAAGTCAAAATGAGGCTCAGTAGTGTGTGTGGCCTCCACGTGCCTGTATGACCTCCCTACAACGCCTGGGCATGCTCCTGATGAGGTGGCGGATGGTCTCCTGAGGGATCTCCTCCCAGACCTGGACTAAAGCATCCGCCAACTCCTGGACAGTCTGTGGTGCAACGTGGCGTTGGTGGATGGAGCGAGACATGATGTCCCAGATGTGCTCAATTGGATTCAGGTCTGGGGAACGGGCGGGCCAGTCCATAGCATCAATGCCTTCCTCTTGCAGGAACTGCTGACACACTCCAGCCACATGAGGTCTAGCATTGTCTTGCATTAGGAGGAACCCAGGGCCAACCGCACCAGCATATGGTCTCACAAGGGGTCTGAGGATACCTAATGGCAGTCAGGCTACCTCTGGCGAGCACATGGAGGGCTGTGCGGCCCCCCAAAGAAAAGCCACCCCACACCATGACTGACCCACCGCCAAACCGGTCATGCTGGAGGATGTTGCAGGCAGCAGAACGTTCTCCACGGCGTCTCCAGACTCTGTCACGTCTGTCACATGTGCTCAGTGTGAACCTGCTTTCATCTGTGAAGAGCACAGGGCGCCAGTGGCGAATTTGCCAATCTTGGTGTTCTCTGGCAAATGCCAAACGTCCTGCATGGTGTTGGGCTGTAAGCACAACCCCCACCTGTGGACGTCGGGCCCTCATACCACCCTCATGGAGTCTGTTTTTGAGCAGACACATGCACATTTGTGGCCTGCTGGAGGTCATTTTGCAGGGCTCTGGCAGTGCTCCTCCTGCTCCTCCTTGCACAAAGGCGGAGGTAGCAGTCCTGCTGCTGGGTTGTTGCCCTCCTACGGCCTCCTCCACGTCTCCTGATGTACTGGCCTGTCTCCTGGTAGCGCCTCCATGCTCTGGACACTACGCTGACAGACACAGCAAACCTTCTTGCCACAGCTCGCATTGATGTGCCATCCTGGATGAGCTGCACTACCTGAGCCACTTGTGTGGGTTGTAGACTCCGTCTCATGCTACCACTAGAGTGAAAGCACCACCAGCATTCAAAAGTGACCAAAACATCAGCCAGGAAGCATAGGAACTGAGAAGTGGTCTGTGGTCACCACCTGCAAAACCAGTCCATTATTGGGGGTGTCTTGCTAATTGCCTATAATTTCCACCTGTTGTCTATTCCATTTGCACAACAGCATGTGAAATGTATTGTCAATCAGTGTTGCTTCCTAAGTGGACAGTTTGATTTCACAGAAGTGTGATTGACTTGGAGTTACATTGTGTTGTTTAAGTGTTCCCTTTATTTTTTTGAGCAGTGTATTTAATAAATTTTAGAATAAGGCTGTAATGTAACAAAATGTGGAAAAAGTCAAGTGGTCTGAATACTTTCTGAAGGCACTGTATGTGGTTAGGACATCTCCAGTCGCTGTAGAAACATAATCTAAACCCAAATTCTGTCAAATAAGGAGATCAATTGCACAATTCATAAGACAAAAAAACCCCCACATTAATTCATATAATGGTTTATCAATTCGTGAATTGACTTTCATGTTCAACTGCCCTCAACAGACTGAATGAAAATAAAATGTACCACACTACCACACTACACCTGGTCCAGAGTCATTAACTGTTTGTTTATCTGAAAGAGACCTAAAGAACTTTCAAGAAAGAGTCTTGAATCATGGATTCCACCTCCTCCACTAACACACTGAAATCAGCTTGACACACTGTATGTTCTCCTCTACTGTTTTCCTTCAGGCACTGAAGCATTTTTTGGTGCATCCGAGGTGTGGACGCTACAGAGGCCAGCTCCCTCAGCTGGTCCAGAGGATCTGAGGTGTTGTAATGAGTGTTCGGGCACTGCAGCGCTTTGAGGACTGCGGGGGCAAACTTCCCATGGTGCGCTGTGGAACAGATCACCACTGGACACCACGGGTCCTGTAGCCGGTCAGCAACCGCCTTGGCAACGGCGGTGTGTGTGTCCATCACGTAACCAGTTTTGGTGTGAACATTTTGGATGGCAGCCAGACATTCCTCTTCAGAGCACCAGCCAGCCACCACATCCTCCTGTATCTTTTGAAGCAATGACTCAGAGACTTTGAAGTACTGGTCTTTCTCTAAGCGTGTGAACAGATCTCTAACAAGATGGCCATCACCACCTGAGGTGTGGTAGAGAAATCTCTCCAGGTTGGAGGATTTAAGGATGTCTATGGCTGGGGAGTGCGAGGCAATGAGAGGCTGGTTTCGGAGATCACACACCCCTGTCGTAATAAAGTCGGAAACTATTCGGTTTTGGTTGGAAGCGCAGATGATTTTTCTTATTGGGATACCCATTTGCTTAGCGTACAGGGCTGCCATGGCATTGCCAAAGTTACCGGTAGGGATGCATACATCAATGGGCTCTCCGAACTTGACAACCCCATCTTTGAAAAGATCTAGATATGCTGAGGCGTGATAGACCACCTGGGGAGAAACAGGAGGTAATGAAGTAATGCTACTTGAGCTGTACAACAACATACCAAGATATTAAGTAGCCTAGACTGAATGAAATGAAATGAATAAATCAAACAATAATGAATTGTTTAGGATAGCTATATGTAATTCATGTTAATTTAGAATGTATTCACCCCCACCCCTGTATAGAATTAAGAAGGGTTTGTTAATCCCCTATAATACAAATAAGAAATAATCAGTTTACAGTTCATATATCAAGCACATTTTGTGAGTCGTAATAACACAAGTACTACCATGTCATCTTACAGCATGACCTCACCTGTGGTAGCAGCCTTGCCCAATTGATGGAGTTAGCGGTGCTGAGGACAGTGCCATACTCCATAGCCAAATGTCCTGTCAGACCTGAATCCCCAAACATGGTCTTAATGGCCCTCTGGCAGAAGTCAAAGTCGGATAGGACACTGACAGCCCTGGCATTGGCCTTTATGTAGGCTGTCAACTGTAGCTTCTGGATCTCACTCACTCCTTCCTCTGGGAAGAACACCAGCACGCCGACCCTCTGCCGGTCCAGGTCATTCAGGCTGCCGAACCCACTCAGCACTGCACTGCCGGTATCACCGGATGTTGCCACAAGGATGAGGTAGTTGCACATTTGTGGGAGACAATAGGCAAAGAGCTGAGGCATCAACTGCAATGCCAGGTCTTTAAACGAAGCAGTGGGGCCGTGGAAGAGCTCCTGCACAAACTGGTTATGAATAAGGTGTTTCACCGGTGCAATGGCCTCGCTGGCAAAGTTAACCCCGTAAGCTCTGAACACCATTCTTCTGAGCTCGGTACCAGGGATATCCATGGGGTGTATGCACTTTTCAAGGATGGCTAAGGCTCGTTCAGGATAGGACATTTCTGCTAGTCTTAGCCATTCTCGTGCGTCGAGCTTTGGAAAGCCTTTTTGGGGCACGTATAGTCCACCATCAGGAGCTAACCCCTCTAAAACAACGTCACTGAAGTATTTTGAATCACTAGATGATCCGTTATCACTCCTGGTTGACACAAAGGTCTCCGAATCCGAGTTCTGGTATCTCTCCACAGCCTGAAGCACCTTCTCTGCAATCTCCTCAACAGTATCTCCAGTCCCACAGAGCACTCTAGTGTCAAGCCATTTCTCATAAAACTGCTTCCTGTAGTGTAGAATCTGCCTCATGGGGACCCCAGCCTCCTGGCCCACAATCCTGTTAACCTTCATCCTGGAGAGCCTCTGTATGATGTCATCGGTGGCTACATCCAGATACACTACCAGGCCAGTGCGTTTGAGGTGCTGCATAGCCCCAGAGTGGAGTGGGTTGGATCCTGTTAGGGAGATGACACTACCAGAGGTGGAGAATTTGCACAGAGCCTGACCCTCTTCTTCCAGGAAACGTTCACCTCCGACCTCAGCCAGCTTGTCAGCCACCGGCATCTTCCATGTCACCTCCAGGACATGGTCGTCCACGTCAATGACAGGCACTCCTAGTCTTTGAGCAACAACACGCCCCACTGAGGTTTTTCCTGCTCCAGGCGGACCCATTAGCAGGATGTTTTGGTCCCCTATCTGGGGTACAGTAGATAGCCATGATCTGGATATTGAGAAAGGGCTTGTGCTAGTCTGCCATCTCACAGCTTTCAGAGCAAGCTGCCGTGTGTTGTTCAACACTCCCATCGCTATAAACATTTTCACCCTTTGACAGTAGGCTACTGGAAGCATTTTGATGTGGTTGTTATGTCAGATCTGTAAGACAGATAAGATAAAATTGATTGTACAGGGCTAATGACATCAAATAATAACAGGCAATACATTAATTGATGTAAATTCCTTGTCAGGAGCTGTTGAAATGTCTAATTTATGTAGCTACTGTACATGTTGATAACATAATATATCCTGGTTATAGCTACAGCATTTTAGCAGATACTAATTTTAGCCTTTGCTAAGTTACTTGACCAGTGTGAATAATAATGTATAATTTATAAATTTTCTATTGCCCTTTTCATAACAATCACAAAGTGCTTCAAAAGCAAAAAACAAACAAGCAATACATCATCACGAGTAGCCTAGCTACTGTATAGTTACATCAACCAATACAGGCCAAGTCTTTGAGTGCCAAAAATGGAGAGGGACAGTTCATGGCTTGAATAGAGGAAGGTGGTCAGGGAGATGGTTGATGAAGAATATTATTTTTTTAAATTAAAAAAGATGAATAGACCCTAGCTCTCAAACTCTAGGTGGCATTCTGCCTTCTCCCTACAGTTCTCAGCCATAGTCCTCCACAATGGACGCGCCATAATACCCATAAAAACACGGAAATGGTCCCAATGGGTTTTCCGCCATTCATTTAACAAAAAATTCAAATGAATTGTGTGTTTGGTGTAGGCTTACCTTGTGATGTTTTGCTAGCCGTGTAATTATTTCTCGGACAAGTTGAGTTTTATCAATATATTATTTACTCAAAAAAAATGAGCAAAGCTAATTACTGATAAAAGTGACCTTGTCCTAGAGAGATTTGTGCGGTTATCAAAACGTCAAGCCAGGGTAAGCCTACACAAAACACAGACCTTATATGAAGTAGTTCTAAAATCCCAGATGGAAAAATGTATGGTGAAAAAACAATTGGAACCATCTCCAGGTTGTCTGACTCATACTGTGCTACTCAATTAGCTTTGCCCACAACTACAATCCCAATGCTGGGTTAAAGCTGCAATATGTAACTTTTTGGGGGACCCAACGAAATTCGCATAGAAATGTGTGTTATAGATCTGTCATTCTCATTGAACGCAAGTCTGCAAAATGGTAGATCTGTTATATGTGTGCTATTTCTATGCTCCCTGTTCTTAAGTTTCGTTTTTGCATATTTTACTTTTGGTTTTGTACACCAGCTTCAAACAGCTGAAAATACAATATTTTTGGTTATGGAACAGATATTTCACAGCAGTTTAGATGGTACAATGATAGTCTACACTATACTAGCTTGTTTTGTCACATAAACTGAAATTAGGCAAACTATTAGACTGTTAGCAACCAGGAAATTGTGGAGCGTTGTCTGCATAGTGCATATTTAACGTTTAGAAACGTAAATAATCATCGCTTGTGATAAGGCTTTCGAAACATATAGCCATTATCTTTCATCAGCGAGAAAGAATCCTTCGAATAAAATTACTGTAGCAGTTTTGCATAGATCCATACAGCTATGGATGCCTCCATCCAACGAAACTACATTTCTTGCTAGACTTCCTGAATTATGCTTATGCACAGCTGTTCTGGGCATGCTAGATAGCTAATTAGCACAGGTGGTCGCCTCTTGTCTTCTGTCTGTTTTCCGTAAACAAGTGCTGTAACATGGTGATATGGCCGTATGGGAACACAAACCACCCTGTCTCGCTGATATGAAAGAGAAGGTCCTTATGCTTCCAATACCGTACCGCAAGCGATGCGTGTTAATGTTCAGATCTAGCGTCAGGGATCTTAACAAAACACCCCCCTACAGAAGACGCCTTTGTCCAATGACTTATGTGTCATGTCATGGAACGGAGTCATGATCAATGGCTAAATAGAACCCATAGGGCTCATACTTACATTTGTCTTCTAAAATACTATTCTGTTTAACACATATTTTAGGAAATAATTTCGTTGACATATCTACTGTTTCTAGCTAGATAGGTCATGTTAGATAGCTACTGTACCTAGCTTGCTACAGCAACCTTTGTCATCAAGAGATTGCTCTCTGTTATCATGTGACGCATGCGTCACTCGATAATGACTTTTCATTTATTTTATACACTAGGCCTAGCTGGATAATATTTTACAGTACCTTAGCTAGTAAATTTTAATTATTCTAGTAAAGAAACAGCTGATGAAAATAAACCAATGTCAGCCACATTCGACATTGGCTTGTTGACATCAGCTTCTCGTCAGCAACACTAAAAAAGTACTTCCGGGTCACGGAATTTCAGACGTTTTCGGAATAAAAGTCCCCACGTAATAGTAGAAAAGTGTCAATAACCTGTACTTATTCATGATACTGTATATTACAAATTGTTGTCAAAACATTAACAATGATTCATATTCGTTAATATTTAAGTGACATTTGCATTAAATGTATGTTTTAAAACATGTTCCAAGGTCAAATAAATGCCCCCAATGCGAATCACTGTATATGTAATATATTGGCTTATAGAGCAAAAACGAATCTGTAGGGAATACTCAGTAGGGTCTGTAGAATGTATATATGGTGTCATTTCATGGAGCTCTGAATAATACTGAGTGTTGCTGGGCTTTTTCTCCACCCATTCCATTGGCGGCCACAATGCGAATCACTGTATATGGCATAGTTTTCGCATTGTCTTGACACATTTTACAGGAAAAGTAAAGGGACAAACTGTATTTCGTAAGTACCGTATTACATGTAAACTGAGAGAAGGCAAAACAGACAAGACGCAGATTGCATTCAAGTTGCGACACAATGTAATAATACTACAGATAGAACAATTAGCATCTTTGGTAATACCACAGATTTATAAAAACTTTTTTCTAATACTGTCCTCTATGCCCAATGAGCCATTTCAGAGGTGATACAATGTAGCAGCAGTGGAATTCTTAGATTGTACCACACTGGTGCTGTCAAAATCATTCCCCGGCAGTTGCCCAGCAACTGTTGCACAGGAAGCTTGTTGTCAAACAAAACATTCACGCAGAGCTAGTTAGAGTTGCGTGATTTTGTATTCTTTTGGTGCATGTTTGGCAACACAAATTATGTTGACCACTAGCTAGCTATGTAAATTATGTTGACCACTAGCTAGCTATGTATCCACCAGAAAGCATATATAACCTTATTCCAAGGGAGGAGGTTAAAGTAGATATTATGTCTGATGTACGCAACTCTGTGCCATGCTTGATGAAATGTATAAAAACATATGGGATTTACTCAGGATATAAACTTAATGTATGTAAAACTGAAGCCTACGCTATGAATGGGTCCCCCCCCCATCAGGTACCCTGTCTGCCAATTTTCAGGTGGCCTGACAAGGGAATAAAATATATAGGCATTACTATTCCTACCTCTCTTGAGGATCTGTATTAAACGAATTATACCAAATTAATTGATGTGATAACCACAAATCTTAGAAGATGGATGATTTTATCTCTCACTTTATCAGGAAAGGTAGAAACAAGATAAATATTCTTCCCACACTGTGAACTACAAACAACTAGCTAGCTAATTAGCTAATGTTAGCTAACAAAGTAACCGTGTAACGTTAGCTAGCTAGCTATGTAAACTATGTAAAAGCTAGCTAGCTAGATTAATCTATTTCTTAAACCTATGTTTCTGTGTGGGGATTGGGAATGTGTGGGCATACTTTGTTGTGCCCTCCCCAGAGAAATATCTGCTCAAGCACTCCAAGGAACCCACATTTACTGAAAGTAAGCAATAGGGCGAGATTACATCTCAATATCACTTTGGAGGTAATTTCCTAACTCTAATTCTGTGTTTATATTTTTACACCACTAGAGAAACTTATTTCATATTTGTATGATGATACTGTCAAGAAAACACAAATACCAGTATTCACTCCAAAAAGTACTTTGTAAAGACATATGCCTTTGAGAACATCATGGCAGTGCCAAGGAAGCCACAGCCTATCTACGCCGACACTAAAACTGGAAACAAACAGCTCCTGGAAAATTCAGGACTGGTCCCAAAGTACATCAAGAAAAACGTGAACTTACCACTACATATGAAAAGACTGCTTTTGCTTTGTCTGTCAAGCAGGTAGTGAATTTGTCCAAGATATTGACTTGCTATTCAAAGAAAGACGCTTATATGCTTATTGCACCAAGACTGGACACTCAATCAATGTGAACTGAACTGAAGAGGATCCCAACATAACTATTTTCCCATCCCCTCCCTAGGACTTCGGAAAGACCCCTGAGTACCTGCAGCAGCGCGCTGAGGTGAGGAGGCCTCAGGACAAGTATGAAAGCTATGTCAAGGAGTGCATGAAACAGGGCACCATGAAACAGCTCTCTGAGGATGAGTGAAACAACATCATACAGGTAAACCACATAGGTCCTTAGAACCAAGCCAATAGAATCTGTCCTAGAATAGATCATAATGATACATTACATTAATGTATGTGTTTTAGCTGATCAGTCAGTTAGATAAGGTTCAGTATTAGATCAATGTATCAAATGATGAATAGGCTTACAAATTCTGTTAAGCACCAGCATACATTCAAAGGGTTTGAGAGAGACATTTCCCAGAAAGACATTCCCATTACACTGACATACATGGGCTTATTGATAATGAATTGTTCTTGAGCAAGAATGGAAAGCTCATCTCCCTTGCCTGTGTTTTTGATGGGTCATCCTCTTTCCAGGGCATGAAGAAGAACTGGGGGGAGCTGCACCATCAGTACCAGGAACTCTCTGTTGTCATGGACACCACCCCCAAGAAGTACTGCAAGGAGCGTCTGGAGCTGGAGATGAAGCAGCTGGAGAGGGACATTGACCTCATCGAGCGATACAAGACCATCTACATCGCCAACAACAACTAACACACATGACACCTCTTAAGTCTCAATGGCAAATGCCAACATTGTAAACAGATATTCAGTGAGGAAAAAAACATATGCCCTGAGTGCTAGATATGAAACTTCCTGGCAAATTGTCATATCCCTCTCACTGTCCCTGTCTATGATTTCACATTGTTTTGGGAAACTAAATCAACTCTCTGCACTATATTTGAAGATATTTTGATGTCATTTAATCTCAAACATAACATGTCAGTATTTTATGTGGTGCTTTTGTTTATTTGGTAATTTCATGTGGTAAATGCAATTATTTTTTTATTTTTTTAATCTGCTTACAAACTGTTTATAAACATTACTACATACTACGTCATGATGTAATCTTGTAGTTCATTATACGAGAGCCTAAATTAGACTATACTTATCTGGTCCTTTGCCACAGTTTCTTGAACCAAATTAGTCACTTTTCCTTTTTAGCAAGCAACCGTGCTTACAGGAAAACTACTACAGGAAATCACATGCAGCTGATTATCCACCCCTGTGGATCTAATTGTGCCATTCGGTGGTTTATTCAGAAGGACTGGAATACAACAACCACCTCTTTTTAGTCACACTAATGACTTCAGCATGACCACAGCATGCTTGATTTGTTGGCTAGTTTTGAGTTTCAGCCTAAAATTGCACAAAGAATCTCTCCTTAAAAAGTGGAAAAGGTAAGGGACAGAATAAAGCCGAAAAGTTGTCATATTACAGGGAGGGTTAACTTCGAAGAACACTACTTCATTATTATCTTGCATGTAATTGTTGTAATTTGTTCGTTCCCCTTCAGTCCTTGTCTGCTGACTGCATTTTTACATCAACTGTATGTTATCGCGGAAAAACATCATGGCAGAATGCGTTCCATCCAGAGCCACGGGAATGGAAGGAGGAATTGTGGTAAATAGTTTCAAACTTTTTGTTTTGTAGTAGACTATTGTTATATACCCATATTTATCCTATCTGTGGTTTGTTTTCTTGAGTAACTTGTTGCAGCTGATTTCAGCTGATCAAGCACTGTCTTCTGATCATGGACTTTTTAAATTGATAGGCTACTTACAGATATAGCCAATTGGAATATTGCATTAATGAATTGATCATATCTTTGCAAGTGTTCCTTATCTTTGTTTATCATATCTTAGATTAAAGATGATTGGCCCGGATACAGTTTAGAGCTCTTCACTTATCCAGAGCATTACCGTGAAGATATAGAGAGTGTCTACATTCCACATGGGGTTATCATGGACAGGTAAAATTTATTTTATAATCTGGAGGAAATTCATACAAACCTTTTCACCAACTTGCTGAGGTGATCAGAAGCCAATGTACTATTATATTTATGTTATTGTAGTTACAATATGGAACATACATTACTACAGTACTGTGCTTTAAAGGATGCTCTTAAATAGGAATATCACCCCCTTTTTAAAAATCCTTATCACTGGACTTGACCCACTTTATTGGTCTTCTCCTGGTGCACTCATTGGCCTGGGTTCACAGCTCTGATTTTCTACCTCATGTGGAAAGGAATGCTGGTGCGTGCCACATTTCTACCAACCAGGGAGGCTTGGAGGACTTCAAGAAGTCATTGAGTTGAGAACTGTGTATTGAAAGTACACAATAAACTATACCATTGTGTGTGCGCGTGTGCGTGCGTCATACACACTGAATGCCTTGGCAATTAGTGATAAAGCGTCAACTCTATGGTATCATGTGACCTCAAAATTTAATCACACACTGCTCTGTCTGTGTAATTGTGATTTTCTGGGGAGGTTTAACATGATTTGTACTGTAGGACGGAGCGCCTGGCCCGACACATCATGGATGACATTGGGGATCATGACATGGTGGTGCTGTGTGTACTGAAGGGAGGGTACAAGTTCTGTTCTGACCTGGTGGAGTTCATTAAGGTACAATGCCGCAACTCCAACAAGCACCTGGAGACCAGAGTGGAGTTTATTAGGCTGAAGAGCTACCTGGTAAGTAACATCAAGTTCTTTTAAAGTCTTTTGAAAAGGCTGTATCATCACATCATTTATCAGTCGCTTGTGATGAAGTTAGAGATAAACATAGTAGTGAATATGAGGTTCTCTAGTTTCATGTAGTTGAGGAGCTGCTTGGTTGGTGCCACAATATCCTACTATTTATTTGTCCTTTGAAATCTTCTGCATGTATTGTTTATGCAGCTGGGCTTCTCTTCACCAGAGCAACTGGGAGGCCTGTTCAGATGCTGTATCGTCAATGTATAACATTCAAATCTCGAAATGGTCATATTTTAGCACTGACTTCAGAACATTCAGGAAAATACTTGAGTTGAATAGAAATAGAAGCAACCTGTTATTTCTGTTATTAATAATTGGTTCATGTTTGGAGATGGAAGAGTATATAGTCTGTCTGAGTGTGTGTGTGTGTGTGTGTGTGTGTGTGTGTGTGAATGTGTATGTGTATGTGTGTGTGACTTTGTTGAGCTACACAATCAATTTGAGAGACTTTTGGTAATGTAGTAGTGTATGTGGACACCTGCTCGGAGTTGGTCCCCCCTTTGCTGCTATAACAGCCTCCACTCTTCTGGGAAGGCTTTCTACTAGATGTTGGAACATTGCTGCATGGACTTGCTTCCATTCAGCCACGAGCATTAGTGAGGTCAGGCACTGATGTTGGGCAATTAGGCCTGGCTCGCATTCGGTGTGTCAATTCATCCCAAAGGTGTTCGATGGGGTTGAGGTCAGGGCTCTGTGCAGGCCAGTCAAGTTCTTCCACACTGATCTCGACAAACCATTTCTGTATGGACCTTGCTTTGTGCACAGGGGCATTTTCATGCTGAAACCAGAAAGGGCCTTCCCCAAACTGTCACCACAAATTTGGAAGCACAGAATCGTCTATAATGTCATTGTATGCTTAGCGTTAAGATTTCCCTTCACTTGAACTAAGGGGTCTAACCCGAACCATGAAAAACTGCCCCAAACCATTATTCCTCCTCCACCAAACTTTACAGTTGGCACTATGCATTTGGGCAGGTAGCGTTCTCCTGGCATCCGCCAAACCCAGATACGTCCGTCGGACTGCCAGATGGTGAAGCGTGATTCCTCACTGCAGAGAACGCGTTTCCACTGCTCCAGAGTCCAATGGCGGCGGGCTTTACACCACTCCAGCCGACGCTTGGCATTGCACATGGTGATCTTAGGCTTATGTGCGGCTGCTCGGCCATGGAAACCCATTTCATGAAGCTCCCAAAAACAGTTATTGTGCTGATGTTGCTTCCAGAGGCAGTTTGGAACTTGGTAGTGAGTGTTGCAACCGTGGACAGACAATTTTTACGCGCTACACACTTCAGCACTCGGCAGTTGACCGGGGCAGCTCTAGCAGGGCAGAAATTTGACAAACTGACTTGTTGGAAAGGTGTTATCCTATGACGGTGCCACGTTGCAAGTCACTGAGTCCTTCAGTACGTGCCATTCTACTGCCAATGTTTGTCTATGGAGATTGCATGGCTGTGTGCTCAATTTATATACCTGTCAGCAACGGGTGTGGCTGAAATAGCCGAATCCACTCATTTGAAGGGGTGTCCACATACTTTTGTGTGTGTAGTGTACTTTAGGATGGTTCGATATGAGCGTTAGGAAATTAGCTTAAGGAAATTAAACGTGAAATGAGAAATTATTGGAAATGATAACTTTTTCAGTCTCCTCATTGTGCGCTATACTCCTATGAAAGGTCATGAATTTCTGTCACATCGATTAAGGCAGCCCCCCGCACATTTCTGATTCAGAGGGGTTGGGTTAAATGCGCAAGACCAATTTCGGTTGAATGCATTCGGTTGTGCAACTGACTAGATATCCCCTTTCACTTGGGATTTTGTATTTTGGCTAACTCAGCATCTGAAATATCTGACTCCAGCATGATTGTAGAATTGAGCTGACCTGAATGACAGTGTCTGTATTAGCTCCATTGTCACTGTCCTTTATTCTGGCCCTTTTCCATTCCATCTAAAGCCTCACTGTCTAAATGATAGTGATTATGTAGACACTAGACAGTCACCATCATGGACATTTCACTGATCTGTGCAGCATAGTCATCCTGGATGTCATGTTTGGGGACATCTCTGTGAGGTTATCTGTGTCTTGCCTCTGTCCAGGACAGAATGGTGACTGTTCACACACTCAATACCGTTTTTTTCTTCTTCTCTAGAATGACCAATCAACAGAGGACCTGCACATAATAGGAAGTCAAGATCTATCTGTTCTACGAGGCAAGGTATGTACATGCTTAAATAAATTGGAATGATTTATTTCTGTAAATAATCTTTCCATTGCTATCCCTCTGGGAATTTAGATTATATGCTGTCAGATACCCTTTGTTCTAAAGAATTTGAGCGTGAAGAACGTTTTTGATATAAGGTCATAACTAGCCACAAGGGGGCGCACTCAGCTCTGCTGTTGAGTGTTGACAGGGCTCTTGGAAATGTATCAGTGTGCTCATTTGGGTGGTAAAGGAAGAAAGAGAAAGACACACACACTTTTAAGACAAATTCAGATAAGGTATACGATCTATAAGAAGAAATAAGAAGATTGAGCTGAAGAATGAACTACCCCTGGTATATTTCACATAGGTGTGGCCCTCTATGTCTAAGGAGTGGGCCCAACGAATCACCACAAGGCATAGTAGATCCATATAATGAAAATACATATTTTGACTCTATGGCATGAGGCAAGGTTTAGGTCCTTCCATAAGAGACAGACAGTTTAAGACATTCCTGCGTAAAATTGTGTCTACTAAACTACATTTCTGGACTGGAGCGAAGAGAGTGAACCCAGTGTCATCCTGCGTTCATTCGGCTGGTCATACATTTTGGGGTTTTCCCTGACAACCGTCCTCTTTGTGTACCCTTCATAAGTGTAACTTTGTCAGTGTGTTGCAGCCATCACCAGGTTGAGAATGAATCACTCATCTAGTCCTATCCTCTTCCTAAGGAAATACTTGACGATAAAAAATAGGGTTTTGGTGGATCATCATCCACCCCACACAGTACCATTGAAAGATTTGATGGAGTTTATGTCAACGGTGCTCAAGATGATGGTATGTGAGTGGTGTTGGGAGTGATGCCCCCATCTAGAAAGAATGTAGTCTTACAGCACAGAGTTACTGTCTCTATCTCAGTAGCAAGGTATATTTTAGGAGTCAGAAGAGGACACCGGCAATGTCATGCAAAAATTTTTTTAACATACAACTGAACAGGCAAAAACCTTAACTAAGATTTGTTTTTGCTCAGGGTTAGGAGGTCAACAAGAATAGCTGTCTGTCTAACCCAGCAAATTTGCGCAAGTCAGGAACATTAATCTTCACCATGGGTAACTAGATGGCTGCCATCAATCTTCACTAAATGGCTGCCATCTCAGCGTCATGCCGTCATCCCATGGCACAGCTGAGTGGTGCCAGTCATTGGGGCATGTGCCAGTCATAAGGGGTGCCAGTTATTAGGGGCGTGGACTCTGGCCAACCGTCAACTAGCATTATTGGCAATGGCATACCATTTATAGCACTTGCTTTTCCTAATCCCAAATGTCATCATGGAAAGTCGAGGTGTGTTAAAGTTCAAATGCATAACACTGTTGCAAATATGTAAGTGGGGGAGGCTGGCTGGATAGGTTCAAGAACAGATCTGTCAAATGACTTGATTTTGCAGGATTCTCTGCATGGGGTCGAGTTTCTATAGCTTACCTCCTTTCCCAGTCCATCATCAGCAGAAGGGAGGCAAGTACAGGATTTTATTTGGGATTTTAGCAATAGGACAGATAGCGGAATGAGGGCAAAAGCCTTTGGGTGTAGTGGAGGGGGTTAGAATGATGTAACACATTGTCTGGTAGAATAATACACCAATTACCTCCAAGCATTTGTGTTTCGTATCTTTAACATTCTTGAGGGGAAATGTAATCCATATTGAATAAGGTCATATAAAAGCCACTGATGTGGTTTTTTGAGGCTGTTTTGTTTACCTCTTTTTCATGTGGCAAAGCAGGTTAGTTCTGCTCAAGGTTTCCATGTTTTCTCTCTCTCTACTACACTAAACAAAAATATAAACGCAACATGTAAACTGTTGGTCTCATGTTTCATGAGCTAAAATAAAAGATCCCAGAAATGTTCCATACTCACAAAAAGCTTATTTCTCTCAAATGTTGTACACCAAGTTGTTTACATCCCTGTTAGTAAGCATTTCTCCTTTGCCAAGATAATCCATCCACCTGACAGGTGTGGCATATCAAGAAGATGATTAAACAGCATGATCATTACACGATGGGGTTATGGTATGGGAAGGCATAAACTACAGACTACGAACACAATTGCATTTTATCGATGGCAAAAATACTGTGACGAGATCCTGAGGCCCATTGTGAGGCCCATTTTTTTAAAGGTATCTGTGACCAACAGATTCATATCTATATTCCCAGTCCTGAAATCCATAGATTAGGGACTAATTAATTTATTTCAATTGACTGATTTCCTCATAGTCTCCTGAGTGGCGCAGTGGTCTAAGGCACTGCATCGCAGTGCTAGCTGTGCCACTAGAGATCCTGGTTCGAATCCAGGCTCTGTCGTAGCCGGCCGTGACCGGGAGACCCATGGGACGGCGCGCAATTGGCCTAGCGTCGTCCAGCGTAGGGGAGGGAATGGCCGGCAGGGATGTAGCTCAGTTGATAGAGCATGGCGTTTGCAACGCCAGGGTTGTGGGTTTGATTCCCACAGGGGGTATGAAAAAAAATAAAAATAATGTAAGTTGCTCTGGATAAGAGCGTCTGCTAAATGACGTAAATGTAATATGAACTGTAACTAATATCTTTGCTCAGCATAGTTACATGTCCTTACTCCCTATTCATAGTTTTACATAACACGGTTCAGGTGTAGCGTGTAGGCCCACAACATTGGCCTCCTGCCTGCATTCTCTCAGAGCACTCGCCTCAAACCATAGATACACTCCACCAGCCAGACAAAGAGCCTCATACACAGCCAAGGGGGGAAAGCTGTCATTTGAACCCCTGCACCAGAGAAAGAGTCCAACTGTAATTATCTTTCTGTCTAAGATATTTGGAAGTGCATTTGGCTCAGTGTTAGGAACAACTGTACATTATGAGGGAGTATAATGACATGTCTGTGTGTCTCTTTGGGACTAAAATTAGATCCAAGATTGTCACTATAGCTACAGTCTAACAAGTGTGAAGTCAAACTCCCAAGTATTTGCCCCTATGTTTGAATGGAAGTTGTTGTGATGTTGCAGTTCAGAGATGTTAAAGATGGGTTTCTCTCTTTTTTTTACATGGCACAAAGAATGTCTTGATTGTAGAGGTAAGTGACTTGCATCATCTCATGGTACAGTATTGCAAATGCCTTGAATTTGCCTTGATGCCTTGAATAAAGTTGATAAAAATTGTCAAAGACTCCAGCCACCCAAGTCATAGACTGTTCTCTCTGCTACCGCACGGCAAGCGGTACCGGTGCACCAAGTCTGGAACCAACAGGACCCTGAACAGCTTCCATCCCCAAGCCATAAGACTGATAAATAGTTAGTTAAACAGTTAACCAAATAGCTACCCGGACTATCTGTATTGACCCTTTATGCACTAACTTTATTGACTCATCACATAAGCTGCTACTGTTTATTATCTGTCACTTTATTCCTAGTTATATGTACATACAGTATCTACCTCAATTACCTTGTACCCCTGCACATCGACTTGGTACTGGTACCACTTGTACATAACCAAGTTATTGTTACTCATTGTGTAACTATTATTACTTTCATTATTACGTGTTTTACTTTTCTATTATCTATCTATTTTCTTTTTCTCTGCATTGTTGGGAAGGGCCCTTAAGTAAGCATTTCACTGTTAGTCCACACATGTTGTTTATGAAGTACAGTGCCATGAAAAAGTATTTGCCCCCTTTCTTATTTTCTCTGTTTTTACATGTTTTTTATACCGAATGTTATCAGATCTTCAACCAAAACCTAATATTAGGGAACCTGAGTAAAACAATATTTAAAAAATTGATACTTATTTTATTTATTTAATTAACAAAGTTATGCAACATCCAATTCCCCTGTGTGAAAAAGTAATTGCCCCCTTACACTCAATAACTGGTTGTGCCACCTTTAGCTGCAATGACTCCAACCAAACGCTTCCTGTAGTTGTTGATCAGTCTCTCACATCACTGTGGAAGAATTTTGACCCACTTGCATGCAGAACTGCTATAACTGCTATAACATTTGTGGGTTTTCAAGCATGAACTGCTCGTTTCAAGTCCTGCCACAACATCTCAATTGGGATTAGGTCTGGACTTTGACTAGGCCATTCCAAAACTTCAAATGTGTTGCTTTTTGACCATTTTCGTGTAGACTTGATTGTGTGTTTTGGATCATTGTCTTGCTGCATGACCCAGTTGCGCTTCAGCTTCAGCTCACAGACGGATGGCCTGACATTCTCCTGTAAAAAGCTCTGATACAGAGCAGAATACATGGTTCCTTCTATTAAGGCAAGTCGTCCAGATCCTGAGGCAGTGAAGCATCCTTAAACCATCACACTACCACCACCATGCTTGACCGTTGGTATGATGTTCTTACTGTTGAATGCAGTGACATAATGGGACCCGTCTTGTCCAAAAAGTTGACTCAAGTTTGCCAAAAAGCACCTGGAAGCACCTGGATGATCATCAAGACTCTTGGAAGAATGTTCTATGGACAGATGAGTCAAAATTATTACTTTTTGGACGAGATGGGTCCCATTATGCCTGTCAAAAACCAAACACTGCATTCCACAGTAAGAACCTTATACCAACGGTCAAGCATGGTGGTGGTAGTGTGATGGTTTGGAGATGCTTTGCTGCTTCAGGACCTGGACGACTTTCCTTAATAGAAGGAACCATTAATTCTGCTCTGTATCAGAGCTTTTTACAGGATAATGTCAGGCTATCTGTCTGTGAGCTGAAGCTGAAGGGCAACTGGGTCATGCAGCAAGACAATGATCCAAAACACAAAATCAAGTCTACATGAAAATGGTTAAAAAGCAACAAATTTGAAGTTTTGGAATGGCTTAGTCAAAGTCCAGACCTAATCCCAATTGAGATGTTGTGGCAGGACTTGAAACGAGCAGTTCATACTTGAAAACCCACAAATGTCGCTGAGTTAAAGCAGTTCTGCATAGAAGATTGTGCCAAAATTCCTCCACAGCGACGTGAGAGGCTGATCAACAACTACAGAAAGTGTTTGGTTGGCGTCATTGTAGCTAAAGGTGGCACTAGTTATTGAGTATAAGGGGGGCAATGACATTTTCAAACAGGGGCGTTTGGTGATGGCATTATTTTGTTTATGAAATAAATAAAATACGTTTGTAATTGTTGTGTTATTTCTTCACTCAGGTTCCCTTCAACTAACATTAGGTTTTGGTTGAAGATCTGTTAACATTCCGTATGAAAAATATGTAGAGAAAATTAGAAAGGGGCAAATACTTTTTCACAGCACTGTATGTGAGGAATACAATTTGATTTGGTTTGATCTATATGCAGGCTTATTATATTATACAGTAGGCCTATAAATATGCCATATTCCCTCCTGCTTATGAATAAATATGAAATGTAATATACGAAAATATTGAATTTCTTCACTTATTCTGATTTACTATTTTGATAATCAGGTCTTAAATAATGCAATAACAACCAAACGGCAAGGGATCGATAAATTGCATAGATTACATCATAACATATAACATGCCTATCATTGCATACAGGCAATAATTGCTTTAAATTAATAGTTTTCCTGCTACCCTCCAAGCTCCTGGTGCACATAGGCCAGACCTCTCTTTTTTGTATTTTTTTCCCCCTTTGAGATGTTTCAGATGTGAAAGTTTCCAGACTGAAGTCATCCATGCATAAACACTAGGCCTTCACCACATGATGGCTGTTTAGCCAACACTCTAGAGGAAAAACAGCATCTGAGATCCAATCAACATTCTAGATAGGCTGTGTGATATACACACACATACACAACTGCATGAATTTTGTCACATTGCATTCTGCACTTCTATATAATTCGTGTAATTGTTAATCAGAGATTTCAAGGAACAATTTCAAAGCAAAGCAAAACATTGTCATTGATATCTGTAAAAAATCTGTGGATTCATGTTATCGGTTGCTATTGCGATCCATTCTCTTCTGAGAGCAGTCCACATTCATGGCCCTCCCTTCCTCTATCCCTCTTCTTTCCCATGTCTCTAGGCTATAGTCGACACAGGAAAGACCATGAAGGCCCTTCTGAAGCATGTGGAGGCCTTTGAACCCAAGATGGTCAAGGTCGCCGGGTGAGTCAGTCTGTCAGAGCTCTCCATGTCCACGGAATGCCGAGCCTGTGACAGCCACAGGAACAATGTAAAGTTTGCAATTGTGTTTCATTGCTTGAATTCAACTATGTTAGTATATAATTGTTTTAATAAATCAATCCTTATGTATACCCCAATATATTTTAGATTTAGAATGGCATAGGTACTGTACTGTATGCCCTTAGTTTCCACTTTGAAGCTTCCGTAATCAGTGTTGTTCCTGTCTGAATGATAAGAATAGCTACCCTATCGCCATCTTCACTATAATCTAGGCATGAACTGCTTATGTAGTATCACTGTAAATTGTTTTAATCTGAGATCAAATCTCTTCTGCATGATTCATTGCAAATGATTGTGGAGATTAGCTTCGTTAATGGTTGTACTGTCATGTCTGTTTCAGTCTGCTGGTGAAAAGGGTCCCTAATGTGGTTGGAAGCCTTCCAGACTGTAAGTGCATCTCTATTTAATGTCATCCATGATGCCATCCAGGATTTCACTCATCCTTCATTCATCCTTCAGAATAAGATTTATACTGTACATGTCATGTTACTGATATCTCAGTCTAAAGCCCAGGTGGTTTCGAATATTGAATGAGCTTGTATTTTAAATGTTGTATGTTTAATACATTACAAGGTGCTTTGTTTGAGGTTGGTATTTGATCGTGAGACATTTCGAGAAGATTTTCTGCTATACAGACCTAATATAACCCCTGACATTGACTCAAGTTTGAATTTATGGTTTATTCAGACCATCTCTACATATTTAGCATATCAAATTTTCTGTGTCTGTATATGTTTTAACAGATGTGGGGTTTGAAATTCCCAACCGTTTTGTCGTGGGCTATGCCTTGGACTACAACGAGTATTTCCGTGACCTGAATGTAAGACCCTACTTTTACTTCTGAACTACACATGACCTTTTAGTTTAAAGAGCTGTTTGAAAGGGATGAAAGAGCCGGGAGCTGAGAGTAAACATAGTCAAAGAGACACTTCTCTCCCTGAAATCTAAACTCACCCAGGTATCCTCGGTGTGTGTTTGTGTGTATCCCTGTGTGTCTCTCTCTGTGTGTGTGTCTCTGTGTGTGTGGGTGTCTCTCTCTCTCTGTGTGTGTGTGTGTGTCTCTCTGTGTGTCTCTCTCTGTGTGTCTCTCTGTGTGTGTGTGTCTCTGTGTGTGTGGGTGTCTCTCTCTCTCTCTCTCTCTGTGTGTGTGTGTGTGTGTGTGTGTGTGTGTGTGTGTGTGTGTGTGTGTGTGTGTGTGTGTGTGTGTGTGTGTGTGTGTGTGTGTGTGTGTGTGTGTGTGTGTGTGCGTGCGTGCGTGCGTGTGTGTGTGTGCGGGTGCTCGTTGGGGCGCATGGGCCTTCGAGTGTGTGCGCGTTCGGGGGTGTGTATGTGTGCACTGTATGTTTTGGAATACCTGTATGTTTTCCTGACCTCTTGCACTGTGCCCCATGCCAACACTCGTATGTTAAATTGAGTTACAGTGTTCTTATTTTAAATGTACTGCCCTTACCTCTATTATGAATACCTGTATCAAGGAGATACTCAGATTTGTCTGAAACACAGCACCCCAAACTCACACCCGCACCTTTGGCCTGTGTGTGTTTTGTGTGTGTTTGCGTGTGTTTGCGTGTGTGTGTGTGTGTTTGTGTGTGTGTGTGTGTGTGTGTGTGTGTGTGGTATTCATTACAGAAATTGGAAGGAAGGTCAAACCAGGAATGTAACGGTTAGGATCTGCTTATCTGGCAGAGTGAGGGCTTCCCTTCTCATCTTAGACATCTTAATTCCCCACTTAACGACTATTAGTAATACCAGTTAGCACATGCTACATATCAGTACAATCATATGATTGTTATCAAGGAAGTGTTCATTTATCAGTTTGAGATTGACCTTCGATGACCTTTGAACCCTGAATCTTTAAATTATGTAAAGTTCAGTGCGCTAGCATAATGGAGAGGCGAGATGATTCCTGTCATATGGGGAAAGTCTGACCTTGCTTTCCCAAATTCACATCCCTCCACAATCTCTAATCAACTCAAAACATTTATCTTCTGAGGGCTCGTCGTCACCGTGGTATTTCAACACTCCAGCAGATAAAACACAACAGATAACTAATTTATGTTCTGTAAACATGGGGGATTAAAACATATTTCAGTGACGTTCTATAAACGATCAAAGTGTTGCTCGCTTGATTTAACATCTGACTGAGCGGAACAACTCTCTTTCTCTTCCTCCCTCTAGCATATCTGTGTCATAAGTGAGATTGGAAAAGTGAAGTACAAGATTTGAAGAGAAGTCACATGGGTTGTTCAGAGTTGCAGTGTTTTCAACTTGTGGCAGCATGACAAGTGCCTTCCCTTCTCATATCTTCGTTCGTGCTCTGTTGTGGATTATTGTTGGTTTATTCATTTCATAATAAGAGACACCTTGCATGTGCTTTATGCAAAACATATAAGTTCTGAGTTATTCAAGTTACATACAACCTTGATTTCCAAATTTTAAGACAGTCACACAGTGAATTATTTTTTTCATTTTTTTTTTCATATGCTATTGTTTTTGTAAACATCATATTACAGTGTTGACAGAATATGCTTTAACGTAATATGCATCTATAACTTTATATGTAAAATACTAATGTTGTCACCAATTATCTAATATGTGCCAAGCACAAAAAATAAAACAAGAAAGAGTCTGGGTTATCAGTGGCCGATTGCTTTTGATTGAAAGAGAAGAGGTTGAAAGAAGGAGTTGAATGTTGGCCTAAAGAGGGAGCACCCCAGCCTGAAATGTATGTTCTGACTGTCTATTTTACCCAGCTGTTTATCCAAAACAACACTGCCTGTTTAGCTTCAGTGTCATTTGTGCTAACTAAGTTTATTATTTGGCATAAGCTGGCTTTCTCTCTCTTTGTCTTTCTGTCTTTTATCTTAGTAATTCATAATATGTTATGAACAAATTTGGAATCAAACATGAAACCATCCTGGCAAGCCACAAGACATGGTTTGTATTAGCTCAAAGTTAGCTCAACCATGCAAGGAGGCAACAACTATCCAAACATTTATTTTGCTATACAGTATATACCATGAAACAGGAAAATAAATATCCATTAGGTAGATTTTAGTGCAAGCCACACCCCTGGTTTTCTCTCTAATGTGTGGGTGGTTTGGTGGGTGTTTGTGTGTGTGTTGTGTAGAGGGGTACATGAGGGGTCGAGTAATAGGAACAGAGTGTTCCTGCCCAGAGAGCAAAGAGAGGGAAAAGAACATCACAAAGGAACTGTATATCCAGATACAGTACTCACCAAGCACTTCCATCTAACCAATAGCAATGCAGTGGACCTATTTATTTTCCACAATGATTTTACAATAGCTTCCAACAGCACAAATGTAGCTGAACTCAAACAATTTGAACGAGTAACTGACATGGCTTTCAGAATCTTTTAAACAGTATTGCAGTGCGGTGTTGTCAGGTTTATATGGATAATGAATGTACTAAGAAACCCTAATAGCTTATGACAAAAAACTATGCACATATTCTATCCAAACATCAAGCCATCAATAAATAATCATAAAATAATTCAAATAAAAACTAAAATTCCTTTTATGGTTTCACCCATTTCACCCACTGACAGCCCTTGACAGATCTGAAAGTGCTGTTAAACTCAAATAATCTGTCATCAGCACTAATCATAAAGAACACAACGGTCGGTTGGAGCTTGGAGACAGACAGCTGTATGATGGTGTGGTGGAAACTAGAGAGCCAAATGGTTCTCTTTGCTGCTCCAACCCTGTGTTCCATGAGTCAGTGTGGGCGTCAGCTGGACGCTTGGATGCAAATGCCAGGACTCTCTCTCTCGCCATCTGTCACCAGTTAGTTCTCCTCCTGTTCTGAGCCATTTAGTTATTTATTAGTCCACTCATTTATTTGCTTAGTTGTGTGTTTGGCTATTCGGTTCATACAATTATAATTTCCTTTAAACTTAGGTTGTTATTTTTTACAATTGTGAGGTTGTGACCTGTCTTACACTGTTGCATTGTGGGAAATTATATATTTGGAAGGTTGTTTACAGTAATAAGGCTGTTCCTCATATCTTTAGGCTTTTCTGTTGGATGCTTTTAATCTCCCAACTAACGCATAGAGTACAAGATGTTCAAAGGAAATCTGTGCTCCACCCGTGGTGTTGGTTTTACAAGGCTCCCCATATTCTCCTGGGATGTGTATTTGCCTCTGGGTGACTAAAAGTAAATTGTGCATGTCACTGGACTACGCTTCCCAACATGCTTCACTTCACACAGCGTGCACTTGGGGAGAGCTGTCATGTGGCCATGCACACTTGCCTCTTAATCACTTGAAAAACTAAACAGACACCACATAAACATACGAACGTGACCCCCACACACGGACCTCCAATGACCCCCCCCCCCCCCCCCCGCCTGACCGCCACACACACACACATCTAAGAAAAACATTGGCTTAATGTAGAAGAATTCCAGGCACTCAGCTGCTCTGTCATTACCACAGCATGATGGGCCTCCAACTGAAAGAATGAGAGACCATACAGGCTGTCGGTGACCTCTCCTTTCACTGACCATCACGTTACTTCTCTCAGGTATTTCAGGAATCATTGACTTCACCCTTTAACCCCGTCCCCTTCGATCTCTTTTGTAATTCTCCATTTGCAGACCACCATAGTCTGTGGTAGGATTGTTGACATACAGTACAACTACTGAGTTCTGTGAGCATTGTGAATGCTGTAGGCCTGTACTTTCAAACACACTCTGTTGAAAAATGTGTGCCATCTGACAATGTGGCATCTGCTGGGAAAGTTTTTAGCACTTGACTTCCCCTTAATAAGGTTATGCCGGGTAAAACGTAATGGATCACCTGCAGTCAATGGCCCTCTCCTGGATGGGTGACCTGATTAACAAGCCTGGAAACAGAGAAGAAAGATAGAAAGAGGGAGGTGGAGAAGACTGTTAAGAATCCAGGTGGCAGGTTGTGTGTTGGTGAGATTGGCTTACACACTCAGAAGACCCACCTATACATCCACATCCCCTTTTTAGCTTTTTTCCACTATACATCTGTGAAACACAGGCTTTGAGTGGGTCCTGAAATACAAACTGAACTCCAGCCTGATAAACACTCCTCTTTCACTAAGAGTATCAGTTATCCCAATTCTCTTAGGTTGGGATTAGTAGGAGGCCACCCTTCCACTGAACTACAGGGCATTTTGGCTCGCCTGTGTATGTGTCATATAGAAGGATCAATGGCCACCATTGTGCTGTGACTCTATGTCCCTTATCGAACATCAGCACTTGGGGACGTCGGTTAACTTACCCCCTGCGCTAAATGTCCCCCACGCCACCCTGAGAACCTGCAAGGCATTGTCTGTCACCTTGGAGCGGGATCCGGTAAGAGGGAGAGGGAACAAAGAGGCGGCCAGGGTTCTCATGCTGGGGCTTTGTAGTGCTCCGCTGAGGAAACAGAGGACAGGGCCGTGCAGAGAAAGCAGGCTACAGGTAGACTGGGAGAGTACAAAGGGAGCAAAATGGGTCCTGTGAATGGCCACACATGTATGCGCTTGACATACGAAGCCTCCGAGTCAGCGTTTAAACAGAGCGGCATGGATTTGATTTCAAATTACCTGGCCAACAGATAGAACTTGTTTACTCCCTAGCTTATTGTTTCTTTGTTCTTCATTTTGAGAGGTAAGACCACCTCAGTGTCAAAGTCAAGTTTAGCCTAGGGTGGCAGGTAGCCTAGCGTTTAAGAGTGTCGGTTAAGTAACTGAAAGGTTGCTAGTTCGAATCCCTGAGCCGACTAGGTGAAAAATATGTTGATTCAGTAAAGCACTTAACCCTAATTGCTCCTGTAAGTTGCTCTGGATAAGAGTGTCTGCTAAATGACACAACTCTTTTTTGTTGCCTCCCCATAAAGCCATGCCTCACTTCTTTCTAGCTGAGTCGTAGGCTTTAAACCAGCTGGTCCACTCTACCTTTAAAATGTTACACTTTGACAGACAGATAAACACTGTAAATGTACATTGATTGACACACACACTGTGATTGTACTTTGTTTACTGTACATTGTGCTCTAAATAGAGGTAGCCAGGGGGCTTCATCGATTGGTTCCTGTTGGGTTTCATTCAATTGTGCAACTTCCCAGTGGTCACAGACGTCATTTCAATGTCTAGTTTTGGTTTATGTTTGATCGAGTTGTCAACTAATGTTAATTCAAAGGGTAAAATCCATTGAATTCTTTGGATTTAGGGTCAAAGTTAGGTTTTTTTTATCCTGAAATTCCTTTATGTTGATGACTTTTGGCAAATCCAATCAGTTTTACACGTTGATTCAACGTCATCACATTGGATTGTTTTGTTGAAATGACGTGGAAACAAGGTTGATTCAACCAGTTTGTGCCCAGTGGGTCAGCTCCAACTCTCCTTGTGCAACCTTTACATCGGCTCTTCCAATACTTGTAGCAGTGTTGCTATCACCTACCTAAAGCCTTTTACTTATTCATTGATGAACAAACTCAATAAAACAGTGTTTAGCCACCACACATTATGGAGTGTGCGGGATAAGGAAGAACTGTAAGCTTCATGGGCTAATACTGTTTTGATAGGCTGTCTAAACGCATGTCTCCAAGAATAAAACTTTCTCTGACAGGAGTTATTCATTTCAAGATTATATGTATCATGTACCTCCTCATATCCCTCTTCTTTGGGTAGAAATTAGGGTTATATACAAGCCTGACTTCAGCACCTGATTCTGTTTCAACCTTTAACGGGATAATAGGAAGCCATGAAGCTATACTAATTCAGGTAATGCTAAGTGTTCTTTGGAAGCGTGCCCTAGAAAACATCACAGTTTGCATTTACTTTGTGAGATGGTAAATTTCAGCACTACACTTTTATTGCTGCCTTGTAACTCAACATTTTATAGCAGTCAAATGTCATTCCATTTAACAAATTTAGAAATGGAATGCCATTTGTTGTTTGTGAGGGAAAAGCACCAGTGTTTCTTCAGTAGTCATAGCAATTGCTCAGTCTACAAAATGTTGCTGTAAATCAATTTGGCTGCAGTAAGTAAAGCTGCTATGCCCACAGTATAACTCTGTGATACTATTTCATATTGCTAAGCCTATCATGAATGTCCCATACATATTGTGTATTAGTAAACAGCATACAAACTAATATTTTTTTGCTACCATAGTATGCAAACCCCTCATAAATAAAGCTCAAGCCTGCACTGTGTGGTTGAGGGTGCAGCGGCTCTTTAAACAATGGATTTTCTCTGAAGCTAGGGAGCCCTCAACACAGAATGGGTCAAAAGAGTCCTCCTATTGTCCCACTTCTATTGTTCTGTTGGAGTGGCCTGCAAACAGAACACTATCCCCCTTTGTCTTTGCCTGGATCAGCTGTGGAGCCTTTTTCATGCACTATGGAGTCCCATGTGTCCGCCATGCCCTACATGTCACAATAATACAGTTAGGGATCCAGCCAGTGAATGGTAAGTGGCATTTTACAACTCAAGGAACACTTTGGAACCATTCAAGAACTGAAGGAGGGGGAAATGTGTGAATGTGGCCCCTACTACGTAATCCTACGTACATGACTTATGTTGAAAAACATCTATCACTGCGTGTTTTGGTATCTCACATCATGCTGGAATATTTAGAATAGCTGAGTATAGAAAACAATGTATGGATCTTGCTCAAAGAGCTAATACTATCTATGACATGCCAAGGAAAATACGCTGTGACGTGGAAATAGGCCTATACAAAAAGGTTCTGATAGCTTAGCATAATATGAACAGGGAAAGAGGTTCTCTAGATAATATG